TCTTCTAAGTCTCTTATTTTTGCTAGCAGTTATAAAGTGACCATTTAAATTTTTGCTTATTGAGAAATAACAACTGATCATTAACAAAAAGCAACTTACACTTTTTTCTAACACAGCACGAGGTGGAAAATCAATTTCTAAGAGGTCTTTAAAGTTTTGTAATAAACTGATTTCTGGATCCCTGCAGGTGGGAGAGAGGGAGTAAAAAAAAAAGTCAACACTAGGAATGCCAAATATCATTTCAGCTTCAAATCTATATTATTAAAGGCACTTACCATAAGTGCATGTTGTTGTTCAGCTTAATTCTCAAAGGGTTAACCACTGCAAACAAGGCACATAAATAATTACATCATCATTAGGACCCCCTTTGCTCACCCAATTTGACCTCTTATGTTTCAGTGCTGAAGGGGAAGGCATGGGTGGTTTTTTAAAGTTATTGAAGGTACTTAAGTCAATGACTGCTCTTAGTTTTTAGTTTTGGAAATTCATTACACTAATATTTATAATACCATCCTGTAGAAGATATGATCTTATTTACCTTAAAAAGTTGGCAAAAAGCTGTGGGACATGGAGTAAAAGACTAAAATATTTCCAAGCACTATAAGGACACTATATAATTTTTATTTTTTTTAAGAAAATAATATTAAAATAGAAACACGATTGGGTAATCATCTGTAGGACACAGGGTTCCATCTAAACTGCTAGGAAAGCACTGGAAAAAAGTGTCACTCCCAGAGCAAAACAGCATGCTATGGATTTAGGCTGTTAAAAACCCCAGCATCCACTGTGTAAAACTCTCCTGCACACATATCCAGCTTAATTCCTGGCTCTGCTTAAGTAAAGTTTACCCCTGGAGTCTGACATGGCTTACATGAGTATCTGCTCACCAGAGACCAGACTCTAGAAGGGAAACCAACGGTGTATGTCTGCTGCCTTACCGTGATCTGCTCCGAGAAAATAGCACTCAGGGAGCATCTTTGGATGCCGAGGATCTACCTCTATGTTCACCGAGACATTGTTCCCTACAATGAGAAAGCAAATAAGAGGTGAAGCTTTTCTTTGCAGTCAAGTACAGAAACATTAACCTTTTTTTTAAAAACAAAAAACAACCCAGCTTTAAATTGGTTAATTCTTGCTGGTTTTCATTACAACAAATAATAAAGAAAGCTGTTAGTATCCAAATTAGTTGATCAAAATACGAGTATATATTAAGTATTTAAATTCCAATGGAATAATTAAAAATAGCAACTGATTTTTTTAAAAAAGTGCATCTTGCATTTCTTATAGACTAGTCTTAACCTTAACACTTAGACTTACTTCTCAGTAATCAAACTCAAACTAGATGACATAATCCATTTGAAATCTTAGTGAAATTTAAAAGGTAGTAGAGAAACGTAATTGTTATTAATTCCTCATCATCTTTTACAGTGAAAAAAAGAAGCATAAAGACAACATCAAGCAGTAAAATCAACAGTCAGTTCCCTCCACGGCATACTTCTGGACGGAGCGAACAGCAGCATATTTCTGAGATAGTAATTACTTTTCTTTTACAAGGTGCCTCATCATGTCTGCTATTTATAAGGGGTAAACAGCTCAAAGATGTTCTGGATCCAGGTTAAAAATCTCACAGCCACCATTTTGTAATTAAAAGGTATGTTAGTCTTGCCCTCCTTGAAGACATGGGAACAAATGAAATCACACCCCCACATCCCTCCCCCCCCAAGTGGTGTCCAACCTGCCTCATTTTAGCCGACTGCTGCCCTTTTTCTGTCCCTTTCTGTCCCTCCCTTCACCCCCAGTGACGGAGCAGCCTCCGCACTCCACTAGCCCCTTTCCAATCAAGTCTTTCTGCAGGTTTAAAGGACAACTGAGGTCTACTTTGGTCCATTGTATGTTCTCAGATTCCTACAGCATGCTATTGATATTTTGGATTTCAGCTGAAAATCAGAACTCTTCTTTCAAAGATAACATTTTCCCCTGTATCTCCATCCTCTGACAGTGGCAAGTTTCTCCTCTGCAGTTACAAGACTCTTAGCCTATATATATATATTAAGACCTTAAAATGCCTGACATCTGCGTATGAATTAAGGTGCTTTTTCAGATGGTGAGCACTATATGCCTCTTTTTTTCTCTTTTCTCTTATTTCTTTGTCCTTTCCACCTGCCTCTTTTAACCCCCTTTTCTCCCCTTTGACTGCACTCTCACATTGCTTTCACTCTGCCAGGACAGGATCAATCTGTTAAAAAATCTGGAATTTGTGAATGAGGTAAGGGCTTCATCTAAGCCGATTTTTTACAGATACTGATTTTTCTAGAGTTTCAGTCAAGTCCTCAGGTTTTCAGTTATATGTTCATTATTTACAAATACACAATGTTCATTATTTACAAATACACGATATTTTCCTGCAGAAACTTTCATTTTATGTAACACCTTTAAGTTATCATTAATTTCCTAAACAGGTTCAGTATTCTGTGGAAGGTTATTTTTTTTAATACACAATGTTAGTGCTGGTTTTAAGTGCTACCATTCATTCTCCTAACTCGCACAAACACCACCTATTAGACAAGCAAAGCAAAACAGTTTCACTTCTCAAATCCATTGTTTTCCTTCAAATCTTTTCGTACCTATTGCAATTCTTCTTGTTGTAGCACCCCGAGTGGGATTTTCTGGCTCCAGCACCCATGTCTTCCCATCAATCTCATCCATGGTATCCCAAAATTCTTTCAGCGATTCTAATGCTACCAGGAACTGATTATAAATGTCTATTAAGGAGTTCTAAGAAAAGAAGAAATTTAAATAAATTTTATCTAGTTTCTGCTGACAGTGATATAGAATATTTAAAAAAACCCCAAACTGTAGGTAATTTAAGAAGCGTTAAAACCTACTAGATATCCAGTTGTATCATGGTACCATAAAACATTGAACTTACTTCACAGGTTTTTTAATTAAAACAAGAATAGCTGTAGCCTGCGCACAATCTAAGTTCTCTAATCCTGGTAGCTCTAAGATGTTGTGATAAATGTACCTCATACCTGGATTTGATCATTTTATACTCCTTTTCAGAAAACTTTTCTGAAAACTGGTAACAACTATTCATTTGCATTGTAACTTGTAACAAACTACTGTGAAATTAAAGTAAAAATCATCATTATCTACTACTCAGTTTCTAACATTGTGATATCTTGTCTCTGCTTC